GGGAAAACAGTCCTCATACTGGGCAGCACAGATGGTAGATGGAGCAATAATCTACAATCTCAATGCGAGTTTTGCATCTTAAGTGTCTGTCACAAGGTCTGTGTGGCAGAGACTTGGCCCCCAGCAAGGCACTACTGGGAAATGGCAGAAACTTTCAGAGGTAGAAGGCTGTGTTCTAGGGGTTGTTGTTCTCTAAGGGTATTGTGGAAACCTATCTCTTCCTCTCTTTCACTTCCTGATCACAAGATGAACAATTTTACTCTGGCCCACAATCCCCACCATTGGTGTGTGGCATCCCTACCAGAAGCCTAAAAGCAGTGGGTCTGTATGATCAACTAGGACCTCTCACCTTATAGCTGAGGCTGACCTTGAACTCCTGATCTTTCTGCTTCTAATTACAAGTACTGGGGTTACAGGCATGGGCCACTGTACCTGGCATTGACCTGATTTTCAAAAATACAGTTGTGACTCTAGAAATGAAAATGATTATTATAGTGACTGAAAGAACCTCTTTAGGTAAACGTACCTTTTCATGGCTCTAGGACCCCTTTATTGAATCTACATATAAAGTGAGCAGTGTGGAAGATGTATCTCTCTTTGCATCCTGGATGAATGTCTTGGAGGTTTATAGATGCTAAACTCTCCTTTTCAGGCAGACATTTAATTTGTGTTTGTGAGTATAAGGAAAATTTCTTAGTGTGTTTTTATTTTATTTTTTCAAAGGAGGAAATTTAGGCTCAGATATCATGAGTAATTTGCACAAAGCACAGTAAGAGATGAAACTAAAATCAAAATTGCATCTATAAAATTAAGGACAAAAAAGTCCCAAATGGGTATTGTACTGGGCTCCTTCCTACACTGGACGTTGATTAATTCAGATACTTTATTTTTCACAGTGCTAGTCAATTCCATTCATCAATGCTAAGGTCTCGACGCTCACTTTTGTAGTAGACACTCAAAGAAGCATTTAAGAGTAAACATTGCAGAAAAGTGCAGGGGTGCCATTCTCCCTGGGACTGCATCTAACATCCCAGCAGAGTGGTTAAAAGGAGGAAGAAAAGCATGTCCAGTGCTGGAGAGGTGGCTCAGCAGTTAAGAGATGGCTGCTCTTGCAGAGGACCTGGGTTCTGTTGCAAGCACCCACATGGTGGCTCACAGCCATCCATAACTCCAGTTCCAGGGCATCAGAAGACCTCGTCTGCTTCTCCACAGGCATTGCATGCACAGGAGTGCACTTACATAAATGCAGACAAAATACTTATCCACATAAAATAAAAATAATAAATATGAAGGAGGAGGAGAAGGAGAAAACGGAGGAGGAGGAGGAGGAGGTGGTGGTCGTTTGTAGAGTTCAGAGCTTCTCTTGATGCTAATTTCATTGTGGAATCAAGTTCTTCTGAGTTCATCATTGAAATGGCAGAATTGTAGAGCGTTCCTTTATAGTACTTAAGTTTCTCCTTTCCTGCTCTAATTCAGCAGTAAATCTGTGGTATCTATTATTTCAGCTTATATAGAAGGGCTTCAACCTATCTGAACAAGAAGTTGAATAGGAGAAAGACAGATGACTATAGGACTTAAATGTTTAAATAGGAGTCCAGCTCTCTTCCTAAGTGATCTGTGTCATGGTAAAAACTCAGCATGTCCATATGGAAACCTGCAACCCTGATACTGTGGGGAATGGATACAAGAGAATCAGTGGGGATGCTGGCCACCAGCAGATTCAGTGAGAAATCTCGTGTCAAGGGGAAAGGTGGAGTGCTGGAGCTTGGCATCCTTCTCAGCACATGCACCAGAATGCACACCTGCATCCATGGACCCATACATCTCATTCTCTCCCCACCTCTCTCCTTATCTCTATTTCTCTCTCTCTCTCTCTCTCTCTCTCTCTCTCTCTCTCTCTCTCTCTCTCTCTCTCTCTCTCTCTCTCTCTCTCTCTCTCTCTCTCTCTCTCACACACACACATATACACACACACACACACACACACACACACACACACACACAAACGAACGATATATGTCATGATCAGAGCAGCACAAATCATCTAAAAGGTCATAGTTGAAAAAAGCGATGGAACCAGAGATGGTGACTTTAATCTCTCATTTTGTTTCTTCTTATTCCTAATGGTCTTAGGCTCTATCTATCAATGTACTTTTTGGTCTTCTAGATTTTTTTTCAAAATTTTATTCATTATTTTTATTTTATGTGTATACATGTATTGCCTGCATGTAGGTTAAGTGCACCCGTGTCGTGCAATGCCCGCGGGGATCAAAATAGGCTGTCAGATCCCCTGGGACTGGAGTTATGGACAGTTGTTAGCTGTCATGTGGGTGCTGGGATTTGAACCTGGGTCTTCTGCAAGACCAACCAGTGTTCTTAACCGCTGAGCCATCTCTCCAGCCTGGTCTTTGAGATTTTTAAATGTAGTCTAGATATTTATGCGATAGAAAATTGCTAACTAATGTTCATTTAATTTGAGAGTGAGGTCTTTAGTTTTAAAATATTTTTTATTATTTTGCTGCTTTTCATGTTAAAACATGAAGCCATTGAACTTATCAAAAAGAAACTCTGAGACATCAAAAAGAAACTCAAGAAACAGTGTGAATTTTAGAATAGCCTCATGAATAAGTTGGCCAAATTATGTTGGGAGAATTGTTCTATATGAGTTGTAAATTTTTAACTTATTTTTAAAATTAAATTACAATGAAAAAAATGTATTTTTAAATTTATTTGGAAGCAAGCAAAAGATTACACATATGGTCTATGTATCATTAGATGCAGAACTGACTGGAAATTTTTTCAATAAGAGCAATAGATTTCTTATATTATGCTAACATTTCAATAACAGACAGGAAAGGCTTAATAACCAAATTAATTTTAATTACATTCATTTATTTTATTTGTAGTGTTGGAGGCACTTATGAAGCACAGCTGGTGTGTGTGGAGGGCAGAGGACAACTGGGAGGTATATGGGTCCCAAGAACTGAATTCAGTTCTTCAGGCTTGGTGACAAACACATTTACCTGCTGAGCCATATCACTAGTCCCCAAATAAAGTTATTTACTCATATCTTATTTAATCTCTCTCTCTCCCTCTCTCTCTCTCTCTCTCTCTCTCTCTCTCTCTCTCTCTCTCTCATAGGGAGGCGTGAGCTCTTTTATTAAAAGATAATGTGATGGTTTGAATGAGAATGTCCCCTGTGGGCTCCAAGTATATGAACATTTTGTCCCCACTTGGTGGTGCTGTTTTGGGAGTTCTTAGAAGGTCTTAGCCATGCTGGAGGAAGCACCTTATTGGGGGCGGGCTTAGAGAGGTCTTAAGCCTTCCTGGATCTCCAGTTGCTTTGTGTTTCCTTTGCCTGCTTGAAGATGTGAGAGCTTAGCTTCTGCTCCTACTCCAGTCACTTCTGTTGCCATGCCTCCTCACCATGATGGACTCGTGCCCCTTTGGAACCATAAGCTACATAAATTCTTCTTTTTTTAAGTTCCCTTGGTCATGGTGTTTCTATCACAGCAACAGAAAATATAAGAAAGTTACTCTAAAGTCACACATACAATATGATTTGTAATACCTTCAGGAGAAGCCCTGTTCACAATGTGACTTGTCAGAAACAATCAGTGGTAAGTGTTTAACACCATAGACAAACAAGAAGCTGACTGGAAACTTAAAAGGCCCACAGAGGTTTGGTAAAGCTCTAAGATCTTCCAGGGGCTCTAGAAAGCTGCACTCATATACACTCTCAACAAAGACATGGGAAAACTCCAGTTTTGAATATCTGACTGAGTTTGAAGCCCCAGAGAAGTGAGAAATGAACTCTAATTGAATATTTGAGTGCTGCGGGTAAGATCCAACACATATGCATAGATAGACGCTGGCAGCAAAAAGTGGAAGACTTGGTTTTTCAAGGTATTTAATTTAATCTCTGGCCATCATTCACAAGTGATACTTAGCAGACATCTATGAAGTTATACACTACAGAGAATATAGGCATCACAAAGTTAGCCTAAGAAAGTTATGAAACAAGCAACAAAAAGTAAAAACTGATAGCATCTACAACAAAAAAGTGGATTGAGCTCGACTGATCTGAATCCCAGAGTTGTCACCTTAAAATGCTTAAAATGTGCAGTTTTCAACAACTGCAACTAAAATCTGAGACATACCAAGATGCAAGAACATATCATTCAATCCCAAAGAGCAGTCACTGGAAACCATCTCTGATGGACTTCAGACTTTGGACTTATGAGTCAAAGACCCTAAATCATATTTTATAAATATGTTGAAAGAGCTAAACTAAGGAAAACATGAGAATGCTCTCTGATCACATGAAGAGAAATTATAAAGAAATGGAAATTATCAATTAAAAAAGGGAAATTTTGATGTGGAAAAGTACAGTAACTAAAATGAAAAAACATTAGAGGGACCCAACAGCAGATTTTTGCTGTCAAATGGTGAGCAATGTAAGTCAATCAAGATGACTGAGTGTCAAATAACAGCAAGGAAAGTGAGAGAAGAAAAGTGAGCAACCTCAGAGACCCATGGATTGTTAAGTGTTCCAACATATACTCCCTTAGTAAGGGAAGTTAAAGAGGAGAGGAAAGAAGGTGCAGACAGCTTATGAAATATGATGGCAGAAACTCCTGAATTTGATTTAAAAGTGTATTTCTGAATATTGAAGAAATGCAGCAACTCAAGTAGGACAAGCTCAAGAATATCATAGTCGGATTCCAAAAAGACAAAAACGGAGAGCAAATCTTGAATGCAGAAAGAGAAAAAAGGGCCCACTATGTATAATGTATACACAGTAACAGTCAAACTGACTTTGACACGGAAACTGGTAGCCAGAAGGCAGTGGGGTGGCATATTTAGCATCCTAGGAGATAAAGACTGCCATCCAAGAATTGAACATGCAGTAAAATGACCCCTCAAAAAAGAAGGCGAAATTAAGACATTCTTGGATAAACAAACTGGGGTAATGTTCCGCTAAAATCCTTGCCTTATAGATTCGACTAAAGGAAGTCGTGCAAGAAGCATCTGCAAAGGACAGTGGGAAATGACACAAAGAAAGAAGAAACACAGGGAAGGTACTTTAATAGGTGAATATTAAAAGCATAAATGTAATTTTATGTAAGAACTCTCCATTTAAGAAAAGGAGGAACAAAGCAATCTGCACTTGCAGATGATAGATGGCATATACAGAAAATTGTAGGAAATTCATTAAAAGCCATTTTAAATCATAGGCAAGTTCATTGGGGTTTCACATTACAAAAATATATTATCTTTCCAGACACTAGCTATGAACAATTAGAAATTAAATTTCATTTACAATAGTATAAAAAGAATAAGGTGCTTATATATAAGTTTCCCAAAAGGACTATCTCTGTTTACATACAGGAAAGTATGGTATATTACTGAATTAAAACTCAAAGGAATAGGAAGATAAAACCATATTCCTAAATTGGAATAATAATATTAAGATAGTAAGATAGGGGCTGGAGAGATGGCTCAGTGGTTAGAAACACTGACTGTTCTTGCAGAAGGCCTGGGTTCAAATCCCAGCACCCAATGGCAGCTAACAACCTGTTTACATACAGGAAAGTATGGTATATTACTGAATTAAAACTCAAAGGAATAGGAAGATAAAACCATATTCCTAAATTGGAATAATAATATTAAGATAGTAAGATAGGGGCTGGAGAGATGGCTCAGTGGTTAGAAACACTGACTGTTCTTGCAGAAGGCCTGGGTTCAAATCCCAGCACCCAATGGCAGCTAACAACTGTCCATAACTCCAGTTACAGGGGATCCAACAGCCTCTTCTGTCCTCCATGGGCATTGCACGACATGGGTGCACTTATCTACATGCAGGCATAACACTCAGACACATAAAATAAAAATAATAAATAAAATATTTTTAAAAAGATAGTAAGATAGAGCCAGGTGTGGTGACACATGCCTTTAATCTCAGCACTTGAGAGGCAGAGGCAGGTGGATCTCTGTGGGTTGGAGGCCAGCCTCATCTATATAATGAGTTCCACACCAGCTGGGACTACAGGGAGACCCTGTCTCAAACAATAACAACAACAACAAAAAAAACCACAAAAAGCAAGATAGTAGAATTTTCACCTGACATTTTTCTTTTTTTAATTTTAACTTTTAATCATGTGTGTCTATGTGTGGTAGGTATGTGCACGTAAATGCAAATGTGTATGGAGGTCTGAAGAGGGCGTTGGATTCACCGGAGCTGGAGTTAGAGGCAGCTGTGCGACCCACCTGACATGAGTGCTGGTAACTGAACTTGTATCCTCTTCAAGATCAGCTTGCATTCTTAACCACTGAGCCAGCCCCCAGTTTGCACTCTTAACTGCTGAGCCAACTCTCTAGTCCAATTGCTTGGCATTTTCCCAAAAGTCTCAAGCTAATCCTAAAATTTATACAGGTACCCAGTGGTCCCAGAATATCTAAACAACATTGAAAAAGAGGAATAAAACTAGAGAGTAATACTCCTGATTTCCAAACCAATCACAAAGACACAATAATCAAGTTAATATCCTACTGGCACAAGAACTGACATATAGGCCAATGGAATAGAACAGTCCAGAAATAAGCCTGTATATCTGGCAATTGCCTCTTGAGTTATTAAATAAGTAGAGAAAGAATACTCTTTTTAGCAAATGGTTCTGGAAAAACTGAGCATCCACATGTAAATAAATGAAGTTGGCTCTGTACCTCATGACATATGCAAAAGTTTACTCAAAGCGGTTTAGATATAAACTCTAAGAAGAAAATCTAGGAGTAACTACTTGAGACTCTGCACCAGTTATATAATAGTTTCTTACATATGAGATGAAACACACATCATGTAATAGAAAAATGTCACTTTATCAAAATTAAAAGTCTAGTGCATGAAATGATATTATTAAGAGCTAGGCATAGTGTGCATATAGGAAGTCTCAGCACTTCAGAGGTAGAAGCAAGAGGATTAGGAGTTCACGGTTATCCTGGCTACATGGTGAGTTTCTGGCCAGCCTGGGCTACATGAGACCTTAACTAGAAAGAAAAACAGTGAGAAAGAAAGAAAATACAAAGAAAAGTAAAGGACAACTCACAGAGTAGGAGAAAACACATTCAAATAAAATATCTGGGCTATGTATTCAGTTGTTGAATTTAAACTGTATGTATTTTACTGATGATTTTTAAGTCTGTGTTTAGCAAGGATATTAGTTCGTTGTTTACTCATTCTTTCTCTTTCATTGTTTATTTTTGGCTTATTGTTATGTCCTTATCAGATTTAGATATAAGTAAATGGATTTTGTGGAATGAGTCTAGAAGTATTCCTTCCCTTTCTATTTTATGGGATTGAAAAATATTATTGTGGACTGGAGAGATGGCTCAGTGGTTAAGAACACTGACTGCTCTTGAAGAAGACCCAGGTTTGAATCACAGCCCCCACATGGCAGCTAACAACTGTCCGTAACTCCAGTTGCAGTGGATCTGATGGCCTCTTCTGTCCTCCATGGACATTGCACAACATGGGTGCACTTCAGACAATACACTCATACACATAAAATAAAAATAACAAACAAAATATGTTTAAAAAATAAAATATTATTGCTAGTTATTTAAAAACAGATTCATTTGTGAAATTATCCAATCGGGGAATTTTCTTTGATGGAAAATCGGTATTAAAACTTTAATCTCAGCCAAGTATGGTGGTTTATGCCTTTAATTCCAGCACTTAGGAGGCAGAGGCAGGTGGATCTCTGTGGGATCAAGACCAGCCTAATCTACGTAGTGAGTTCCTGGCCAGCTGGGGCTATAGGGAGACCCTGTCTCAACCTCCCCCCCAACCTTTTATCTCATTATTTATTATTTACTTATTTAGATTTTATTCCTTTATTTCAACGTTTATAGGTCATCTGTCTAGAAACTTCTCAATTTCTTCTTGATTTCTCAACATATTGGCATATAATTTTTTCAAAATATTCACTAATGGAACTGGAGAGATGGCTCAGTGGTTAAGAGCACTGGCTGCTCTTGCGGAGGACTGAGGTTCTGTTGTCAGCACCCACATGGCAGCTCACAACCATCCCTAACTCTAATTCCAGGAGATCCAACACTCTCTTCTGGCTTCTGCAGGCATTGCATGACACTAGTGCACTTATATATGTGCAGTCAAAACACTCATATCCATACGAAAATATTTGCTGGCAATCATCTGAGCTTCGGTGGTATCTATAGCAATAGTCCCTTTTTTAACCCTAAATTTTTTTGTTTGGATCTTTTCTCAATTTTTAAAAAAATTTGTTTTTATTTTATGTGTATGCATGTATTGCCTGCATGTAGGTAAGTGCATCCGTGTCGTGCAATGCCTGGGGAGGTCAGAAGAAGCTGTCGGATCCCCTGGGACTGGGGTTACAGACGGTAGCTGTCATGTGGGTGCTGGGATTTGAACCTGGGTCTTCTGCAAGAACAACCAGTGTTTTTAACTGCTGAGCCATCTCTCCGGCCCTTTCTCAATTTCTTTAATTTCTAAATCAATTTGTCTGAGAGTTGGCCAGCCTTTACTGTTCTTTTCCAAAAATCAACTCTTCACGGAGCTTTGTGTTTTTCGTTTTCTTCCTGTTTTGTTTGTGCTCTGATCTTTATTGTGTCTTTTCTTCATTCGTTTCCATTTTTCTAAGACCTTGAGATATAACACTTGGTTATTTATTTGAGATATCACTTTAAAAAAAACATAGGCACTCTACTGTAAACTTCCATCATTTAAATATAACTCAGTAGCATAAAATAAAAAAAGGGGAATGCTTTTGAGATGCTTAGACTTGCACTTTCTGTCACCCTTTTTACTGACCTTCATACTAAAGCATGCTTTGTGTTTCTGATATATTCAGAAACTTCTTGTGGTTTCACTTCTGGGCCCCTCAGGATCATTCATGATCTTCCACAGTGTAACTGCAGTCCACAGCCCAGTTTTTTCCATTGTTCTTTTATAAACAATTTTTAAGTCATTCATATTATTTGGCCTTTGACTTTACCTTGCATTCATTCATTCATTTATTCTGTTAGCCAGTCAATAAAGAAATTTGTTCAGTATCTAACAATTATACCATAAACTCAAGACACCAAGATGTTGAGAAAACACGATCACAAAGTAGAGTAAAAATTAATATCAACCTACTTATTAATATGCAGCAAGGATGCTAAACTCCAGCTGCACTTACCAGCTCCAACATAGCTTCTTACATGGGAGAATGTCCACAACCCAATTCAAGTAGGAACATCCTAAAGTAAGACAATGTCAGCACAGTACAGTGCTCCTCATAAGCCAGAGAGATGGGACAACCATCATTCAAGGCACTGCAGTGATAAACATAAGGACATCACTTAAATTCTCCCAATTGGTAAGTCAAAGAAAACAACAATTAATTCATACAGTTAGGATGTCCTTAACCTGAAGCTTTCTTGAACTGCCCAAAGAGCTTTATTTATACGCATAATCATATAAAGGTAGGAGGAAATATTAGCACAGGGGCTTAATAAGACCTTTGAGAATGAAAGTCATCGGCCTCCCAATGCTTATACAAGGCAAATGTGAACAATGATCCCTGAAGACAACTTTTAAACCAAAAAAAGTATGCTTCTAAAAAACTAACATTTCTTTTTCAAAAATAAGCTTTCTATTTTAAAAATGCAGTTACAGGGTCAGAAGCTCAGAAAGTAGGAATTTCCCACATCCTGTTGCATCTCACTCCTGGGTCTTCCCTGTCTTCAACCTCCTGTACCACCATGGCTCATTTATTACAATCAAGGCAGCTACAGCCACAAGCATCACCATTCAAGCTCATAACATTAGGGTTCACTCTTTTGATACTTGTTTGTAATAATTTTAAAAATTAATTTGTGTCAATGTGTATGTGTGCGTTTGATGGCCAGAAGTCAACATTGGATGTCATGTCTCCATACTCCACCTTGGGTTTTGAGACAGAGACCTGTAACACCATTTACACTACACTGGCTGATCAGTGAGTTCCATGGATCCACCTGTCTCTGCCTCCCCAGCCCCGGGATTACAGATTCACACCACCATGCCTGG